AATTACGCAGCCGGTACAGCCTCCTGGGGCCATGAACCTCTTCACCAAACATAGTCCCATGGTAAGGACTACACAGACGCTGACGTGTGCTTTAATGAGAATCACAGGCTGCTATAGTAAAAGAGGAAATAGGTAGCTGCAGACAGACGTCCAGTCCCACCTTGGTTTGGAAAAAACACCCACCCCAGGAGTCCCGGAGAGACGAGGCCAGCGCAGGTCTGCTGGCTTTCTGCTAGAACCAGAACATCCAGTGGGCTTGTTTCTCTATCAGGCCTGCCAGAGAAGAATTTGTCTCCTGTCCACAAAGGCAGATAACAAGGCCCCTACAGGCTCCTCCACACCGAGCGAACGTGAAATATGATGTGGTCTCTGGAGGGAGCGACGGTTTGTTGTAGTGAAAGGGCCTGACTGTGGAGGGAGGTTCATGCTACAGGCTCAGCAGCTGCTAGACGCTTCCCGTACGGCTGAGAAGAAGGAGCTGTTTATAGGTGTATAGGCGACAGACCTCTGGCGCTACCGTTCCCTCACTTCTCAGACGCACAGTTTATGAATTGCGTCAGTGGCAGGCTGTTGACTTTGTTGTGTGACTGGTGCATTATTTTCTATTTACCTTCCAGTCTACCTGCGACCAACGCTGGTGTTTGCAGACGGCATTCAGCGTCACACACGTGCACAGGAGTCATGAGTAGACGGTTTACCGATAATCATTTGTAGTAAAAACCTAATAACAGCGACAGTTTAGCCGATAAGGCGCCAATAACGTAAATTATTAATATGCAGCTCCAGACGTCTGAAGTCTGGGCCGGTGTTTGGTTAACTGTTGATAAGAGCGCTAATGCTGACGACAAACCACAGCGTGGAGCAGCGCCCAAATACCTGAGCTGCATGTGATCCAGCAGCCACTGACTGCTGGTGCAAACAAAGCAGAGACAATTATCACAGAGTCACACGGCCAAAGGTTGTATTTGATATACAGAAGGTCTTTGTTGGTCGCCCCCCGTTAGCAGAGCTGAACGGTCATGTGGGGAGATGGTAAAGAAACTGACGTATGGTGGTAGATGTGATTAGAGATGCTCTAAAGGGATTTACCATTTCTGCATTTTCTTATCATAATGCATATCACAGAAAAACAAAACATCACAATATCATGCAGAACAGAGAGTTAGTGTTGAGCTGTTTGGTAGCAAATGTGGAAGCATGTTCTCTATGTGCAGACACCGGTCGCGTTAGGATCAAAACCATCCAGCAAAAGTGACACAACTTTGAATGTAAATCTAAGTTTTGTCTTTTTAAAACGATCCAGATTGGCAGAAACAAAGTGATCAGCGTGCAGAGATCACTCCTCTGCAGACACAAACCAACGTTCACTCAGCAGAGTCTCCATCCAGCTCACCGATTTCAATTCAACACTCACTCGTCTTGTATTTACTCTGTTTTGTTCTCCACCAACACGAGCTAAAACACTTTGTTCCTCAGGTGTTAAATGTCCCACCGCTTGCTTCAGGTGTTACGCAGGTTATTGCAGGTCGCCGTGGGCTCCAGGTAGAGGATGGTGTCTCCAGCTGACCCTGTGGTTCTCCCAGCTAGTAAACACTATTCAAACAACTAATCTGGCTGGTTTTCTGCTCCACTGTGATCGTGTGCTTAAACGTTTTATATCATAATGTTTGCTTTGCTTCAGCTCTGACAGAGAAACGTCCACCTCAACGCTCCATAACCCTGAGACGCTTCTCTTCGGGTCAGCTCGCCCTGTTATTCAATCGGAGGCTTCAGAAGTTTGTTTGGCTGTTGAGGTCAAATTTCAACCAGCTTTCTCAGGAATAGCAATCTCCACGTTTAATCAGTCTGACAGGCGGCAAATTCCATTCACAAGACAATTAATCTGCAATAAAGCGGAGACAACGTGTTCACGGGAACTTTGACATCTGACACATGACAGACGTCACGTACACGATGAAAGTCATGAGTCACCTCCTGCAAACTCATAAACTCTCAGCTCCAACAACAACGCTTCACCGCCACAGGTGACACTCGAAGCAATAACACCTCACAGGTATTATGCCGTTTGCATTCACTTCACCGACGTCATTCATGCCTCACGGACGGAGAAGCGAGATCGCAGCTCTGCTATAGCGTTCAAGGGTCAGCGGCCTGGCAGCGTGTCAACAGCCTCAGCGGTGCGGCCACAGGAATGCGTTTGTCATACTAACCTACTTGTGACCTCTAAGGTAGAAAAAAAGAGCCAAGAAGTCTTTAATCCAGAGCTGTGGGAAATCACCGGCCATGCTGTAAGTCATACACGCTGCTGTCACATCATCATACCTTCAAACATAACCCAACGCTGGCAGATACTTTCATCAACCGTCTCACATTCTGTTTGTAGGACCTCAAAACCATAAGATGCGAGATCAACACGTTTCCAAAAGCAGCTACATCATTAGCATCTTAATTTCTTCCACCGGGCCGTTTGGCTTTATAACGGCGCTCTGACTCAGCGCTCAGTAATCATCATGACCTCACTCCTAAAGGACACGGTGAAAGGCTAACATGATAAATGCGCCTTTCAGTGCCTCAAATGGTTAACAGCACGCCATTAGCCTCGAGTCGCAGACGTCTCTTATGTTTGAGGCCTGTCTGCAGACTACATCTGCTATAATGTTAGTTTGACATCAGCTGGAGCCACCGGGCTTCACATGAGTCAACCACAGCAACAGAACCTCTGGGCAACAAAAAGAGAAAATCTGACAGTTGGACATCCAGATGCTCATGACACAGCAGGAGCTGCCTGCAGAGGACTTCCTTCCTTCTGCCCTTTCATCTAGCGCGTTTTTTTAAATCCACGGGGTTACGGGGGGTCAGAGCTAGACGGGAATTCACTTCTCCCTCTGAGAGCGCCGGCGGTCAGAGTGGATCGGCCTCACCTTCACCCGTATAGTCACACTAGTTCCTACAGAGACACAGGAAGGCTTCAGGACATTAACACAAGTGGCATAAATCCAACAAACACTCTGATTCATAAAGTTCATGATGCCCACTTTCTGTGTATTCAGGACGGTGCGTCACACAGAAATGGCATTTAAATGGTACCTTGTCATTTTAACGTGACTTCACTTGAAAGGGTGGGCGTTGGAATAAACTCACATAAACCTGAATCTTCATTATAAACTCTGGAACTGTACAAACAGGCATTAAATCACATTTTAATGTTCAGTAACACATACAGTCCCTCCTCACCATAAACAGAAGCACAGTCGCTAACATCAGCAGGACTGATTCCATTTTATTTTTAACCAATTCCCAATAAACTGACGTAAAAAAAATCATCTTCTTTGGCTCTAATGCAGCCGTCTCTCTCTACCTGTAGTCCCGTCCACATCACAATGCGATTGGTTAAAAGCCAGTCAACACAAAGTTATCTGTTATTTAGATTTATGTCAAAGGTCTACAGTTTGTGGTCTTCTAAACTCATTTCTGCTGCACATATCTATCGGTCTTCTTGAGCACTACTAACCTGCAGCAGAATCAGCTGTTGAAAAATAAAAAACTGATCCATCAAGCCCTGATTTTCATGAAATATTACTAATCCTAAGAAACAACTACCAGTGAGTGGATGTCCGTCTATTACCACATAAAGCAAAGTGATTGCAGAACATTTAACTCATTTCAAAAATACAAAACATCCGACTGAGTCTCAGCCGTCCTGACATCTACGTCAGGATGCTGCCCACCGGACCGTCCTTATACAAGTCCGACCGGCTTCTCTCCAATAAGACAAACTGCTGTCATCTCCAGCTCGTTCTCGTGCTGAGTCAGCCGAGCAAACATCCTCCTCCTTCTCTGCACCGCATCCTGATCTCAAGAGAGAGAAACCTGCGAGTTATGAGAGGCCTTAACAGACATCCCAATTACCATCCGCCCGCCCAGCGCCGGCACCCTGTGACCTGACAGAAGACGCCGCAGCTGCTACAGCGCCAAAAAAAAAAAGGAAGGAAGCTGGTAAAATGCAAGAACCCACAAAAGGTCAATATCGGATCAATAGAACAAATGCTCCGTCACTCCACTGAGACAGGATGAGTGTCTGTCCGGGGAGGAGGCTCGTCAGGTGGGACCTTCCTGCTCCATTTAACCACAGACTGACTGTTGGTGCTGCTGGACGTATGGACCAGTGTGGGTCAGTAGTACGGTACCGACACTACTCAGGTCCATGCACCATCAATCAACAACAAGCAGACAAACTGATGCATGTGGGAGGATCCAAACCTCATCATCATCATCATCATCACAGACTGCCTCAGTTGGACATAATTTCTGCCCTCGAAAAGAGAATAAAACAATATTTAAAGATCCCATTTGTAGTTGTTTTGTGCCTTTGACTGGGAAACCTACACAACCCGCAGAGCACAATACTGCACTTTATTGGCTTTTAGCACAACATTAGGATTATTTTTGTCATCCTACACACTTGTAAAAGACAAACATGTAGTAAAAGACTAGTGTGTAGGGTGACAGAGGTGTACAGTGCTCTGTACGTCCACAACAACTTTCCATAACACACATTCTCCTCTGAGAGTCAAATCAACAAACAGATTTCTGTCCATATCAATAAATCATCAGTTGTTAAGGTAGTGCACGAACCCACACACCAGCTGTGTGTGTATGGTACACCTGCATTGCCAACAGTCAACCAACAGCTGTGTATTTGAGCATGAAGTGTCTGGGTGTGAGTCCTGCCACCATCCACTGCATTCCACAGGCTGTCCCAGTAAAGCGAGCTGGCAGAGGACCAGTGATGCACCAGCAGAGCACCGTGAACGCACTCTGCAGATAAGAGAAGAAACACACATACATACACTGCAAAGCCGCCTTCGTTGAATCGTCCGTCGCCCTATTAAAGCCACCGGAGCGTGACATTCCCAAACGTGCAAAGGTGCAGCCCGCGGGCTCCCACGGTAACGACACAAATATGCACCGTGTTTGTCAAGCGATCGAACGAGTCTCACCTCTGAAATCCCGTGGCTTTATAATCCACTCACGCGTGGCGGGATCGTAAAATCCATGTCCGGGTGTAAAAAGGCAGATTTGAGGGGTAAACAGATCCAAAGCCTCCGTGTGTTGTTCGGCGCGCTGGGGCTGGTTGAGGCCGGAGCGAGGAGCCACACAGCAGAGGGAGAAGGCGCAACTTGAAACTGACAGAGAGGGATCGGGCGGAACCACAGCGGCGACAAGGAGGGGGGGAGAGAGGCGGGCTATGAATAACGACGGGACACGGAGCGACAACAAGCGATGTGTCTGACTGTGAGTCGGGTTTAAGCGCCACATTAACACAGTCTGAGGGGTGTACTGTGAATAAAAACCGACTTGTGCCGGCGTGTGTCTACGTTTCTTTGCTGAAGTGAGGCGAGCGACCCCCGCCGCTGCTTGGAGCGCGCCTGCGTGTTTTAACTCGGTTTAATCCGATTGGTCTCTTCTGACGTGACGCAGCAGCTCTGGCGCCTTCACATGGAGTCAGAAACATCACAGCGGGTTTACACAACAGGCAGAGAAACGCCGCGTTTTGCTTCATGTGACAGAAAAACTGCAGATATTTTTACATTCTCAGTTACTTTAAAGTAATCCGAGACGCCTTGTGTGTGACTGAGCGCTTTAAATAAATGCTGACTTGACTTGGCAGGAGGAGTTTGGAAGGAAAGTTGTCAAAAACTGAGGGCCTTAAAGGGGCTTAATGAAGGATTGTCCAGAAGAATGGATGATATCAGCCACGTTTATGTCAATGAGGTCAAATTCTGTGAACACTTGGTTATCTTAAACTCATCTATCACTTAATTTCATTCATAGTAATTGGGTTTGCATGGTTGCTGATTTGTTCTATCGAGTTATCAGAGTAATTCGATGAGCTCAGTATTTGTGGCACCCTGCAGGTTTACGTGACCTCTGTAAAAGAAGTTGAAGCAGCATGGAGGGGATAACTCTCTGAACTGACCGCAGGACGTACAGTCATGGAACTCCTGAGTCCCACTGATCTGTCTGCCGGCTGTATGGAATCTTGAAAATATAATTCCCACTTAACTCCAAAGTCCATTTGTTTGTTTTCTGACTGAGTCCGTGCAGGGATTGTGCGGCGGTTTTAGAGGGGCTGAAGTTTGCCTTAGTGGAAAACCATAAGATTATAACTTGGGGAAAATTATAAGTTTCAAACAATCGCTCTCAAATGGCTGGAGATCACGTGAAAAACAGCCTGGTGAGCGTTTGACTGCTTCTCGCAGACAGAAATATGAATCACTGCTTCAGCTCTGTATCAATCACAGCACAGTCCAAACATCCTGCAGCTGTCAGCCAGCCTGAATCTATTATTGATAATAGGTAATAATTAAGCAATGATTATCCTTAATGTCTTGTGAAAGGAAAGGTTAACAGCTAACACGCCCTTCGTAAACCTGCTATCAAAATCACTCCTGAGCAAACTGGATCACAGCTAGCAACAAAAAAAGTCTCAAAATGTGATAGCTTGAGCTAAAGCTCATGCACTTTGATCAGAAACAGGCCTTTGTTTATATTCTACAGTCCATCTCAGACCATGCTGGAAGGAGGAACCCCTTCTGCCGCTATCAGCTCTGCACAGAGTCGGTCTCTCCCTCCTGAGCATCCTGCAAGGCGGACACCGTCCTCCCGTCACCGGACAGATAGGCCCGTGTAGCTGGTTTCTGAGTGTAAACAAAGACGCGAGGCTCTTATAATCCCTCGCAAAGATCCTGTGTAAACTTCAACTCGAACACGGCCACGTGGCGGGATCAGCGTCACAGCATTATTTCTGTTCATTCAGCAGACATCACTTCAGTAGTGACTGAAAAAGAATCAGCAAAACCTTTGTCCCACCTACAGATCATCTGTTGAAGAGTGAGGAGGAAATATACAGAGAAGTGCAATGGAGTTATAAGAAAGAGAAGAGACGCAGAGACAGAGTCAAGCACAGTATAGCACCAGATATACCCAGATTATTGTGGTCATATATAATTGGTTCTGCAATGAAACGTTGTTTGCCTCAAATAAGTACTGTGCTGCTGTTCATAGGCAACGTCTGTCTTTGGTAGACAATGAAATAATTGGTATGTTTCTCCAGACATGGTTATTATCTTTGAAGGTACGGGGGGAGAAACTTTTTCCTCCTGCAGCATATCAGGAATACGGATCTCTACTGCTGGAGATCCTTTAAAAAGTGTACAAGCTGTTTTAAAAACTCAAAACAAGGACTTTCTCCTTTATTTGTTAAGAAAATGTGTCACAGAATTGAAAGCTAAAAAAGCATTTCTTCACCTAACTGACTGTCCACAATACAACTGTAGTTCTTTGTGATGTAATTGGAAGCAGTGGCGTTGCATCAGATCTCTCAAATATGAGGCTGAAACCTGCACTAATTTAAACCAGCAACACTTTGACTTGCAGAAGAGAACGCTCGCTGTTTCTGCCTCCACAAGAACATCCCGCATACGAGGTCTCCAATCAGAACAAGCTGCCCTAGTTGGATTTGTGATAATTTGCTAATTAAGCAAACCCCAAGGGGGACGCGGGGTGACAACCAGGTCTGCTTGTGTTAAAATGAGAGAGCGTGAAAGAGGAAGACAGACTCGGAGGAGCAGCAATGAATGGAAAATGGGCTGAGATTAGGAGTCCGAAGCAGAATGACTTGCTGCCGGATCACAACACATCAGAGAGAGTTTCAGCGTGTTATGAAACTGCCTGTAATTGCGCTGAGCAGCCTGGTTCCCACCACGCCTTTGTTCACTATTAAGGGTTTGTCATTAGGCTTTGACTGAGGATCACTGAAGGCTGAGTGAAGCGTGCAGACAAAGGCTTGTCTACCTAAGGTGAGGCGGCTGCCTGCATTCTCAACATCACAAAGGAATTACACATGATGTCATCCCCCAAATCTTCAAAAGGCATCTGCCATGATCACACATCATCAAACGCAGATGACAATGGGCTGCCGTCGCTCGCTGGAGACGGAGCAGGATGGTACCAGTGAAAGTACTCACTGTGCTGAGGGAAGCTGAAGATCCGAGCGGTACTCCTGTGGCTGGGCTTCTCTCGTTCTGTTTGTCCCCGTCTATTTCTGCCTCTCCTCCCGCCTTCTTCCCCCGACTCTCTCTCTCTCCCTCTCTCTCTTCTCACCACGGCAAGATGCTGCCTGGACCAGTGCTCGTTGTCATGGTAACCGAGACTGGGGGGATTCTCATGTGACCGGATCTCCTCGGCTGCTGATTGGCCAGACGCGTTGGAGTGAGGAGGGGCGAGATGGGATGCAGCGAGGCGGGAGGGGGGGGTCCTGATGTCATACGCCCACCACTTCACAGATTGGAGGAATCCTCAGCCAGGACGCCTGCGAACACACACAGACAACAATGGGCGTCTTCTTTTTTTTAAGGTGGGGTCGATGCTGAAGTGGAACTATTCCACAGTCGGGATGATTCTACTTGACTGACTGACTGAGCAGCACGCCGACTGACTTAGAGGGCCTCTTGCTTGCCGATGTGAGATGTCAATCTCGGCTTTGGCTCAGCTCTTTTTTTCTCTGCGCTCATCTGCAACGCTGCTGCTAAAATCCTCTGCAAAGTGCCAAAGGGGCCAGTACGCAGAAATAACACAACTGTTACAAGACATACGAGAGCGCCCATGTGTGGCAGCTTGACCTGCTGGCCCACCACACTTCAGGGGCTGCAGGGGCCTATTTATAGCGCTGCAGAAACCAGACAGACACACAACTGCTGCTATTCACTCTTACACGCAGTGATATTCAAAGTGCAAACAAAGGCAAACATTCAAACTGCGAAACAATAGAATTTTTGGAGACTGAAACACACGATGCAGAGACAGGCTGCCGCTCCTGCTGCTGCTGATAACAAGTAAATGACCTAAGTCTATTTCCTTCATCCAGAGATTACATCGATGCTGCACATATGTGGAGCTTAAGTGGTGATAAACTTACAAAAACAGAGCAGCATGGGCACTGAGCAGCTAAGTGTCATAATTGCATAACGATGAAATGTGCTCCTGTCACACACTTTACGCGCTTTGCAGACATGAAGAAAAACTTGGCTGAAGAGCAGCAGCATTATGCTGTTGAGTGAAAGAGAAAGAAAAAAAAAAAGTCTTTCTGTGTTCATCGAGGCGATAAAAGATTTCAGAAAAATAGCTTTGGTGTCTTACATCCCATTCGAGGGAAAGTAGGTCCCTGTCAATTTCACGCTCATTCCCAACGATGACATGAGTAATCATGGTCCAGGCTTGTTGTCCAGACGGTTGTGTAACAGCCTGGGACCCGTCCAGCTCTGCCAGAGATGAGAAATGTTCTTGTTCTGGGAGAATCGTGTTGGTTTTCCTGAGCTGATGTCATGTGTTGCCTTTGGAAGGTATTGAGCAACTGAAAAATACGTCTCTCTAATCCTGACTTCACAACGTCCTTAAAGCTGCTGGCTATCCGAACTGCTGTATCTTGTTTTACAGTGCAGCAGCAGAGAGGTGTGGTTGTGTGTACATAAACAGAGGCACACCTTCTGATCTGTGTCTGTACAGATTCTTTGAGTCTCTTGAATTTATCTAGAATTAATTAAAACAAAATAAGTAAGATCAAGGTGCAAACTGAGCCAAAATGTTCAGTTTCTGCTTGGAGGATTGAACATTTCATTTAAAAAAGAACTACAAACACACATTTTCACAGTGAATATAACACTTTTATTTTCTCCTGTGTGTTTTCCAGATTGCTCTTTGCTCTTGATTATTATGTCACTCCCCGCTACCGTACAGACACAATCTGAATCAATTAGAAATGTGGCCCAAACATCATGCTCCAAAGACAGCCAGCGCTATGCATTATGCAGCCTTCTCTCTAAGCCTATAGCTGGCCAGTGAGCTTTATCAATAAAACATGTACCTCTGTCTCCAAAGCCATCTGTTTCAGACGCCGTCCACGTCAAGGTGTTTCTAATCAAATAGCTTTTTATTTATTAGAATTCAACAATGTGAGATTTTTGGTGTTTACACGTTTCTTGCCAAGTTCTTCCTTCCTTCTCATCTAAAAATCATTTTCTGCAGGAAACACTGTGGAGCTGATTTCTCACTGGTGTTGATGAAATAGATGCAGAGATGTAAATAAACACATTAAAATGATTA